CACACACACACACACACACACACACACACTCGCACGCACGCACGCACACACACGCACACACACGCGCACACATGCACACACGCACACACACATGCACACGCCCCTGCCGTGCCCATGCTCATGCACAATGCCCATGCCCAGGCTCAATCTAAACCTTGTTATGCAGTTTACAGAGTCCAGCATGCACGTGCCTCACCTCTCCCCCCCCCCCAGGCCACCGAGGCGCGCATATTGCTGGAGGCGGTGGCCTACCGTGCACGCGGCGCGGGGCGTGCCGGCCGCGCCTCATTCCGAGACGTTGTGCGCACAGACCCACAGGTCAGGAGGCAGGGGGCAGGGGGCACGGGGCAGGGAGAAGGGGGCAGGGGGCAGGGGGCAGGTGGCCGTGCCTGATTTTGTCTGGGGAAGGGCCTTGGCAGGGGTGTGGGCGACGCTGCCCCCGCCTCTGCCGCGCACGGTGCGGTTTTCAATGCTGGGGGCGTCGCCCACGCCCCCTCTGCTGTATACCTTTGCACCTCCCCCTCTCCTATACTCACATACCGGGGGCTTTGTCAACCGTGTGGCACCATTTGCAGCTCTCTGCATACCAGAAGATCATCATGTGAGCGAGGGGCTGGTGTCAGGCAGTGTGTCTTTGGCGTGGGGAGGGGGGCAGATGAGCGGCGGGCCAAGGGGCACCACACACTCGGTGGTGTGGGCCGGCTGCCACGCACGACCCAAGAGGCACCTCACGCCGTGCCGCGCGCGAGCTTTGCGTGGACAGCTGCACGCGACGGCCGCGAGGCTGCACATGCGCAGATGCTGCGCGGCTACTTTGCTGCCTGTTTGCATGCCTCCTGCAACGTTGCCATACCCTCTCCTACCCCCCCCCCCTACCCCCCCCAGGACCAGGATGTTCAGGAAGATGTCGGTGCATGTGAGGAGGGAGGGGGGAGGGTGGGGGCGGACAAGGACGATCCAACCAATTGGGGAGCCAGGGACAGGCAGGCCGTCCCTCACCCCGGGAGCGCTGCGGTGCCGCTGCTTGCACGCCAGCGGCGATTTTCTTCGGCTCTGAGGTCGTGACCCTGGCGCTCCACGCACCCCACCCGCCGCTCAGCCATGCACCCCCCCACCCCTTGCGTATGCCCCACTCTCCCAGGTGCACTACAACGGCGCCGTAGGGCGCACCACCACCCAGCGCGACATGCAGAACGAACTCAGCCTCATCAGGCGCGCAGGGGGCCAGCAGTGCCGTTGGCGGCGCTGCCGCACCCGTAGTGGACGTGTTCATTTTGGGGGGGGGGGTTGTTTGATGTGGGCGATGTGCTGGGGTCTTCTGTGACGCGGAGGTGCTGCTGCAGGTGTTGGCATCAGGCGGGCGCTGCAAGTGGTGAGCGCTTTCCTGCTGTTGCCAGGGGCGGCCGAGGGGCGGGCTCACTGGGGCTCTGACCTGCAGGGGTGCCGCCTGGCGGGGGCGTCCACAATGCGCCACATCCCCCCTCGTGCACATGCCAGCCCCTGCACGCCCGGCGCGCCAGTGTTGATGCGCATCCTGTGGTGGCCCTCGCCGTGTGCCGCTGCGGCCATTCAAGAGCAGCTGGCCGTCAAAAGTTCTTCCGGCTGTCGTGATCGTCCGATGGCACCGCGCAACAACGTGGCGAATCCCTTCATGTCAACGCGCCCATCCTCCCCCCGCCATCCCACCCCCCCCCCCCACAGGGGCTGCCAGTCCTGGGTGAGGGAGCAGGTGCAGCACCTCCTGGTGGATGACTGGGTGAGGGGGCTGGGGCCGAAGGGTGACTGAGTGTGTGATGAATGTGCACGCTTGTGTATGTGTTTGTTTGGCATAGTTGTTTGTTGGTTGCGAATGTATGTATGTGTGTGTTTGCGTGTGTGAGACTGAGAGATATAGTGTCAGGGAGCTGACGTGTGTTTTTGTGTGAGAGGGGGGGGGGTCAGGCGCAGCTCACGGCAGGAGAGGGCACGATGGGTATCAGGATTCGCGCGCAGGTGAAACAGGGGAGTTGATAGCAGCTGCAACACATCGCCGTGCGGCAACTGCCCCGCGTGTGCACCACCTGTGCTCTGCTGGCCCCGCCACCCTGCTGGTCCCAGCCCAGCACCCCTCACGCATTGGTTTGCACGCAAGTGCCTGTCGGGCCTTGTGGTCTGCTCAAACGTGTGCCGCCCTGCCCTCCCGGGCCCCGCCCCGCCAGGCTACAACACCAGCATGCTGGACCCCGAGGACGCGCAGGCCGCATGCAGGCTGTCAGAGGTTCGCCCGCGCAGCTGGCCCTGCGCCAGGGGCCCGGGGCCTGCGCAGTGGTCGCCCACGTTGGCGCCATCCTGTGGTGGTCAAGGGAAGAACGCGCCAGCCTGTCGGGCTGCGCCAGCCGTGCCGCTGACGTCACAACACCCGTGTCGTCGCCGCTGTGTCGGCGCTCCCCCTGCAGGCGTGCACGGTGCTGCTGCGGGCGCTGGCTGTGGCGGGCGCCCCCGTGCCGCGCAGCCAGCTGGGGGTCCAGCTGCTGTGCGAGGAGGCCACCTGGAGGGGGGAGCCCGGCGGGTCCAGGGTGGGCGGCGCTGACCCGGCGGGGTCCTTGGGGGCGCGGGGTCCCCTGGCTTAACGCGCTGCACCTGTGGGTGGCTGCGGGCCGACTTAGCCAAGCACCAGTGTTTTGAGCCTCTGGAGCCGCACCTGGACGTCACCTTGGGGGGCCAGTGCCAACCCGCTGGCTGCCCCCACTGCCGTGTGCTGCTCCCCAGCAACACCGTCGCACGGTTGCGTCACACCCCCCCTCCTCCACACCATTGCCCGATGACCTGAAAGCCCCCTCCCCACCC